ACCGAAATTTAATGTTAATCAAGCTTACAGGAAAATCATAGGCTATGTATCTACAAAAGGTAGTTTTTATATTTAAAACAGATTATTATAATTATTATAAGATGTAGCTAGTATATACTGTCAAAGACAAGGCATCTCAAAGAGACAGCACTAGCTTAATTTTTCATAATTGCATTTCAAAAAAATGTAGAGTGATCTACGAGATAACGTTAGTCATACCACTGTGATTGATTACCATATTTATGCATGATGGTATTTAGCCTACGTGATATGTATTTCAAAGATTATCATCGTATATTTCAACAATATAACGTTATATAACGAAATCGTTTTTGTACCATCATTTTTGTAGTGTTTTTGTGTACTATTAATGTTTAGATACTCCTTTAGTTGTAAAATATCTTTACCTGTAGTCGAGTCGTTCACAAGCTGCACGTCGTTTAACTTAAAGACCTATTGCTGCCAAACGATAGAATTAATTTGCAGTTTGTCTGAATGTATTGTAGGGAAATATTCCCGCGCTATTTTTGTTCTCTGTCTTCTAATTCTAAAGAATCTCCTCACATTTTTCACTGAGGAGAAACCGCGCCAAACGGTTCCGCGCGCATGTCCGAGTGAGGCTCGACAAACCTGTGCAACATCGACCTCTAGATGGCGCCACGACACCAAAACTTTCCTGCAACTAGGTAGGTAACATGAAATGTGACATGCTATACATCTAAAACAATTAAAAGCAATATTTGACTAATTTATTGGAATTTATTCTTTATTAAATGTGATAAAACATACAAGTAAAAAAACAAAAAAAACATTACCGTTAGAATAAATGTTCTAAATATTAATTACATACATGTAGCTACATAGATATAAAGTTTAACTTAAAAATATTGATGCCGAAATAACAAAATGTTTTTTGTCAACAAAATGTGCTGTACAACAAACGTGCAATACGTTCATCCTGTTTGCATTGAGCGTCTCCCCAACCCCTCCACCCACAGGACTTTCGAAAAGCAGTTGTGTCTGTGCATGTGCTGCTGAAGTGACCTTTTACGTTAAGACAGTATCAGTGAGACTGTGGTGAGGCAAGCCAGTTAGTTGTTTATCGCTCTTTTCTGAAAGCAGATGTAAGCTTGTGAGGTTGTAGCCTATTAATATTTTGCACAAACATTTACTGTATGTGCTGTATATGGCTTTACGGTTAAACAACCTAGAAAAGCACCGCAGGCTTGAATGAAATAGTTAAATTTACATTTATAGCAGAAATACATTATAGTTTGCATTCATGGTGACCATGCTGACTTTACCAAGCATACAGCAGAATTTTTTTTTTTTTTTTTTTTTTTTTTTTTTTTTTTTTTTTTTTGCTTGAGTGACTTGTGTGTGATTATGCTGTTATTATCTGCAACACTATCAAGTGATGTTCACACGCTGAGATGTTTTACTAGGCATTCTGACCTTTTGTGTTTCTATCAGTACATGAAGGGGGAAGTTTAATAAAGAGCTCATTTTCGAATGCTTTTGAATGATCTGAAAGATGACATGGATATGATCAATAAATTTTTTGTTTCCACACTCTCAGAAAAAAGGTACAAAGCTTTCACTGAGGCGGTACAATTAGGTACAAAAGCTAAAATGTACATCTTTTTACTCTTATTTACCCTTGAATGCTAAATTACTACTTTAATCGTACATGTACCAAAAGTGTACATATTAGTACCTTTTGAAAGGGTAGCATCCCAGTGACAGTTTGGTATTTTTCCCAAAAGAGTTTTTTTGAGACAAGAGGTTGTAATAAACAAGCGCAAACTTTGAAGTTTGCATCCAACCTGACCTAAATTAACATGGTTTGCATTTGACCACACGTCAAAACATTTTCAACCCCCCAAAGCAGAATTTGCTCCTCTTAAATATCTGCTTGTAAATGCAATTCACTTACTGACACCTCCCACTGTTTCCTGTCACTAACAAGTGGAACTAAAAAAAAAGGTACCACACAGGAAAAAAATCGTTACAGAGCCATTTCACATTTCGGCACAGCAGTTCTCTTCAATTCGCCTGTATCTTTGGAACAATGCCACCCAACAACACAGATAACTGCAGCACATCTCACTTCAGATATCCACTTTTCACTTCCACCTACAGCATCGTGCTGCTGTTCGGTCTTCCTTTGAACTTCGTGTCTCTTTGGATACTGGTTTGTCGGAATGGCTTGAGGAAATCCGTTTCGGTGATCTACATGGCCAACCTGGCCTTGTCGGACCTTCTTTTCACACTTTCCCTGCCCTTTCGGATCATCTACTTCGCCACAGGTGAATGGAAGCTGGGAAACGCTCTATGCATGATTCCAGGGACCCTCTTCGCCGTCAACATCTACTCCAGCTCCTTGTTCATCACGCTCATCAGCGTGGACCGGATGCTGGCCGTGGTGTATCCGCTGCGATCGAGACAACTGCGGACGGTACCGATGGCCTGGGTGCTTTGTGCGATGGTGTGGCTGATCATCACTGGATTGGCAGTGCCAACAGCCTTAAACCACCCTGAAAACAAGGACAACGCCTGTAACGTTACACGCTGTTTTGAGAAATACTCTGACAGGAATTGGAAGAATGGTTTCATAATCCTCTGCTTTACCACTTTCTTTGGTATTTTAGTACCTTTCTGCATTATTCTGGGCTGTACGGTGTCAGTCGTGCGGCAGCTGAAAGGTTACAGCATGGCAACTTCCTCGTGCAACACCGAGCTGAGCAAAAGCAAGATTGTAAAGCTCTTTCTGTCTAACTTGCTCATCTATGCCATTTGTTTTATCCCATTCCACATTGCTTTTATCCTCTTCGGCCTGAGCAAACGTAATTACTTGCATGGCGACAATTCTCTTGAAGTTTACTTTAACCTACAGACTGTTACCATGTGCATGGCCAGCACAAACAGCTGTCTGGACCCCTTGATCTACTATTTCAGCACAAAGACTATTAAAGGCAGAAGCAGATGTGATTCTTCATCCAAAACTGTCGGTCTCGGCCTGGTTCAGAGCATGAGTTGGAACGGACAGTAAAGCAACAAACCATCATAATTGCTTATGTTGTTGAGGTAAACAAGCTCTTAGTCTGAAAGGAAATGGTTATGTAAAAAACCAAAGTCTTAAACCAAAAGCTGACTCACGCAAGAGAGAATTGCACGTCTCTGCTCATGTGCATCACATGCAACTCTGTTTACCCATCTTGGGCGTCCTAAAGTGGGTGAAAAGGGAACAAGACACCAAACGTTGAGCCAGTGTGCTTCATTATCTGCCAATGTGATATACTTTAAATTGTTCTGCAAAACTTGCATTGTTGCAAATCATCTAATTAAGCTGTGTATATTTGCTTATCACTGAGAACCAAGGGCAGTAGCTACTGTGAATAATTTTGGCCCCTCTGGTTGTATATTGCAATGTTTTGCCGCATTAGCTGCATTTCTACCAGCATTACCGTTGAAAACCTGTTCGGTTTTGTCTTTTTTCTGTGTTTTTGTGTCATTGAGGAATACTTTTGAACTGCATCTTTATTTCCCCAAGATTGCACTTAAGTTCTGCATAGTAATATGTCTGCACTTTTACTTTTGTGTCATGCATTATGTTGGTAGAAATAAAACAATAAAACAAATGTTCTCTTCTCAGATAAGATCTGCATAATGACGATTCATTTGACTTCAACTGAGGTGTGAAAGAATGAGAAACAGTTCACATGGTTGCACAACGCTTACAGGCTGGCATAAGGAAGTGAAAATTTCAAATCGACAGTGTTCAAGTCCACACCCTCTCCTGTTGTTTCACATGAGGGATGTTTTTCATGTTGTGGTTTGTGGGCCAAGTGTGCTGAAAGGTCTCTTGCATGCGATCACATACTGTATCTGTAATTATCAACAGAGCGAGAGTAGGGTTTCAGCAGTTTATTGATGGATTTTTACAAGCAATTATCATTTACAAAGCAGCAGAATAGAGTGCATCAAATCAAACGCCTCATTTATTTGCAGACAAAACCAGTTGTTGCTACACCAGTATGTGGAAGATGAACAAATACATTTAAATGGTACAATTAGAAAAAGTGCAAGCAATATGAAATGATTCCACCTCAGATGAGGTCTAATGATCTACCATTATTCATGGATCACGTACATAAAAAAAAGGAATAGGAACAGCAAGGAAGAGATTTCTGCACATCTGTGCCTAAGAAAATGCACCTTTAACTTAAAGAACAGCCCGTTCTTATCAGTATAGACATACTGCATTTAGGGATAATGAAACATTTCAAACCAACATCCGGTGGCTAGTTTTTCACATTTTTCTACAAACTTTATTCACATGTATTAAAGAGCAACACACAGAGTATTTGAACATGATAAACTGCGCCGATGACCAACATTACTACAAAGAAATGGATGTCAAGTTAGGAAATCCAAGATAAGAAAACGTATATTGCTTATATCACGTTCAAAAACTCACACTAACAGGCTTAAAGTCATACATTTCTAAAATATGAGGTATACATCTTTTGGCATTGAAGACAATTTTCTAATACTGGATTTCTTAGCCAACACAGAAAGAAATGAACAACATTTTTTAACAAATGAAACACACAAAAAAAACAGTCTACACAAACCGAGGCTTTACAGAGGGGAAAAAAAATGAAAACGCAAATCATTCATCAGTGCATGCCAGACGTCTGAGAATAATCTCACAGTTATATTTGAGGAAACGTCCCCACTGACAAAAAAAAACAACAACCTGAGAGTGAAATAAAACTACAAACTAGACAATGTGCTTCAGAATATGCAAATCAAAATCTAATTTAGACAAAGACAAAAAAAGAAAGAAAAAAAACCCCACATACTTGGGTGAAAAAAAGTCATTACAGTTTATTCTTGGAAAAACCGAACCAAGAAAACACAGATATGGCATTATCTAACATTATGTACAGGTTTATCATGCTGATAAAGTGCTGTTAAGCTGGACAGATGGGGACGGGTCAGTTTTGGGTTTTGCTCAGTAGAGTTGAGAAGGGAAGGAAACTACAGCAGGAGTCTGTCGCAAATCTTCGTCTCTACGACAAACGTGTTCTCGAAGTGCCGGATGCTGTGGCAGTTTCTGGTCTCTCTCTTCTCGATGCCTGAGGAAGAAACAGATTCGAGTTGGGTTAAACAAGGATGCTCATTTTGATATAGCACTGTGTTGCATGTATTGTATTGCATAATTGTTGCATGGACATACTAATGTCGATTTCACGTGTTCAACATCGTAGTTACAGATTTTTGTGCTGCCTAGTTCAGGAAGTATTTTAAACTAGCATTCAAAAGTGCGGGGTCAGTAAAATTAGATTTTTAATGTTTTAGAAGTGTCTTATGCGGACCAAATCTGTATTTATTTAATCAAAAATACAGTAAAATCAGTAATATTGTGAAATATTATTAGGATTTAAAAGAACGGTTTTCTATTGTAATAGATTTTAAAATGTAATTTAATTTATTCCTGAAAAAGCTACATTTTCAGCACCATTACTCCAGTCTTCATTGTCACATAATCCTTCAGAAATAATTCTAATATACTGATTTGGAAAGAGTTTTATTATTATCAATGTTAAAAGCAGTTGTGCTGCTTAATATATTAGTGGAAAATGTAATACATTTAATATAAGATTATTTGATGAATAGAAAGTTCTAAAGAATAGCATTTATTTGAAATAGAAATTGTTTGCAACATTATAATATGTCTTTACCGTTATTCTTTATCAATTTAATGCATCCTTGTTGAATAAGTGTTGATTTCTTTCAGCAAATAAAATAAAATAAAAATCACATTGACCCCAAGCTTTTGAATAGAGTTAGTTTCTACAATTTAACTAGGTAATGTTACCCGACTACATAACTAGCAACCCATTTAATGCCAAACCTTGTCTTTTTATTTCTAATTTACAAATATTTTTTAGTTTCAAACTGAAAATGTTTTAAAACTTGATTCATCTCGCAGTTGGTCGTTTGGGTCATACGTTCTCTAATGCCCGGTTCAGACTACACGACTTTAGCCCGATTTTGCCACGATTTGCTTGACGTAGGGTGTCGTGGGGATTCATAAACGACAATGGGCGCCGGGACGCAAGATTCCATCGTTTCAGCACGTGTAGTGTGTCATAGTGGACGACAACCGGTTAAAGACGACACGCGATGAATGGTCGGGAAGCAACGTGTAGTCTGACATGTTTCTTGTCCACGACACGACAAGATTTTAGGAGTCAAAATCGTGAAATCTGACACAGTGACTATCGTGACCGACAAAAATATTGTGAAGTCTGAACCCGGCATAAGTGAAAAATACATTTTTGAGAAGTTGAACTCAGTGGTCACACTCTTGGTGTGGCGCAAATGTTGCAAGTCAAGTTCTATTTCCTGTGGCTTCAGACACCATCTGCGCACGGATGAGTGAGAGGAAGTCCTTAAGGAGCCAAACTACAGCTCCCACACCGCATCACTTCCCACACCTCAGCCTCTGCATCACACCACAGAGAGATGCCCTCTGATCCAAACGACAACTCCCACAATGCATCAGTGCCTGACGTGCATCACATCCCCCGCTGCGTGGTTTCCTAACTAGAGACGTTCTGTGTACTCTACAATCGTGAGTCACGCTTACACACCTACGTGCGCACGCATTAATCAGGATGAAGATCGGTTTCAACGTGCCATGAGCAAAAAAACTGAAAGCACACAGCACATGCCCAGATCAATCTGAATGCAACATTTAATATTAGATTAAAGCAGTCTGACTCATAAAAAGAGGAAGACGTTGTTGTGCTATCAGCAATAGTTATAGTGTCTGATTTACGCAAAATAACTGGGTGGATAGAAATTAGAAGAAAAAAAAAAACAAAAAAAAACAGGAACAGGAGCCGACAGACAACCACAGATACAGCTGTGTGTGCAGGTTCCAGTAATAAATAACATGTAAAAAAAAAAACTAAAAAAAAGAACCTGACTATTACATGTTCTCTACTGTTTAAAATAATTGTTTTCTGTTTGAATATATTTTAAAACGTTATTTATCCCTGTAATGAATTTTCACTATCATTACTCCAATCTTCAGTGTCCCTTCAGAAATCATTCTAATTCTGATTTGCTGCTCAAGAAACATTTCTTATCATCTTCAATGTTGAAAACAGCTGTGCTGCTTCATATTCTTGTGAAAACTGATACACTACTATTGTAAAATGTTAATACTTCTATTCAGCAAGAACATTTTAAATGGATTAAAAGTCATATAAAAGTGGCATTTATAATGTGACAAAAGATTTCAAATAAATACTGTTCTTTGAATTTCTAATTCATCAAAGAATCAAAAAAACAACAACAACAGTATCACAGTTTCTAGCCTTGGTGAGCATAAGAGTCTTCTTTCAAAAACATTAAAAATCTTATTTATTTTAATCTTTTGTAATAATAATAATATTCATAGTGATGTTTGACTTGGCAAACACCAATAATAAATCAAGATGTCAAAAAAACTCACGTTTTTGGCTGCTACGGCGTCTCAGTCTGTAGGTTTCTTTTCCATAACAGAGCCGGTGGATGAAGGGTCCCAGCTGACGCATGTTCCTAACGCGCCCCGTCACCACCATCTCTTCCTGAATGATGTAGGTCTGGGGCAAATACATCCCCCGCTGTCAAAATACACAAATGCATACAAACGGTCACATGGGGCTACGGGCTTCATTCCATCAACACTGACACACTGGCTATGATGAATCAAACAGATTAGAAATCTGTGTGTCGCCTCCGCTAGGGAAGTGACAAATTCCTTTTAGGGTTTGCACAAATGGACTTTTTTCCTTTGATTTTTGTTGGCATTTTTGTATTGAATTAATTAAAAATAAAAATAATAATAACTTTGTAAATAATTTTACTAGAATAAATGTTTCAGAACTGGGGGAAGTTAAAAAAATATATATATTTTTTAAATATTAAATTCTTCACTAAATAATTTAAGATACTACATTTTTATACACTAAATAATTTAAATTGCAAACTAAAAATAAATAATTATTGTATACTAAAATCTTTATAAGTTAGTTTCCATGACTTTATCATTATCCTAAACGTTCTCTGATATTTCCAGGTTTTCCATGATCATGGTAACATTGTCCTTGCGAGTTAAAATGAACGTTTTTTTTATTTTTTATTAACAACTGATTTCTGAAGGTACAGTTTTACCTTCAGAAATCATTCATGAAATACTTATAACATTTCAGAAATAAAGGCTTCACATCAAACTTGTGACTCACAAACTGAGACCTTTTGTTCGTGTGTTACATAACACTTTATGCAATCTGTTACCTTGACATTGACAAGCAGCTCCCACAGGCTCCTGGGCGGCATGACGATTGTCGTGTTGAGCTCAATAACGTAACACTTATCCAACGCAATGTCGTAGTAAGCTGTGAGTCCCTGTGTTAACGAGAAACGACAACACCTCCGTTAATAACGACTCTAGAATCAAATAAAAAATGATTTGAGAGATATGTTGAAGTTCAATACATTCACCACTGTTGAAAAGTTTAATACTTTTTCTCAGCAAGGACGCATTAAATTGATCAAGTGACAGTAGCAAGATTTATACTGTTACAAAAGATTTCTATTTCAAATGAATGCTGTTCTTTTGAATTGTCTATGCACCTATGAAAACATATATCAGGGTTTCTATAGAAATATTAAGAAACAACCGTTTTAACATGGATAATAATAAGAAATGTTTCTTGAGCAGCAAATCAGCATATTAGAATGATTTCTGAAGGATCATGTGACACTGAAGACTGGAGTAATGATGCTGGAAATTCAGCTTTGCGTCACAGAAATAAATTACATTTTAAAATATGGTCACATAGAAAACAAGTCTTAATGTAATTAAATTGTAATAATATTTCACAATATTACTGTTTCTAATGCACTTTTGGTCAATTAAATGGAGCTGGAAGAACAAAATTCTCATGGATTTACAGCGTCTGGAGAACTTGGAAATGTGGCTTTCACAGAAACATGTACTCCTGTGCCTGGCACATTGCGCTGAATATTAAACAATGATTTCAGCAGACAAAAGGTTTCCTTAGAAATGGTTCACAGTCCATCTGGGGGAGCCGTGATGACTAACACCAGCTTTTGTGCAGCCAGAGAACTAGAAGAAACTGTACAAGAGCTAAATGTTCAGAACTTCACTTCAAGTGCTTCTAGGAAAGATCCTCACCCTGTGAAAGTCGTGAATGATGTCAGCTGGGTCACTGCTTCCAAAGTCTGGCACAGGCACGCTGATCTGCTCATAGTTGTCATCCAGGTAGATACCGACGTTCTCCTCTAGCTCCTGCCTTCCGAGTAATGGGGCGAACAGGGGGTCCTCGTACATCACCCGACAGTGGAACAAACTGTCCTCTGGGATCTGGGGAAAGAAAGCAGAGGGCTTCAAAAGAGGGCACTTGAACTTGTTTAGTGAGTAAAAGATCCAGCAAGGTGTTGCTATGGTGATCGCTATGGCAATGAGCTTTAATAAGCTTGTTTGTGAATAAAAGATGATTAACAGATCCATTGACGTCTAGCGTCTCACCTGGGGGCTGAAGTAGTAGCGGTACAGGCATACAGATGCCAGGATCAAGCCTGACAGGAAGATCACCAAGCCAGGCACGACGCACCAAAGGCCACTAAAGGAAGACTTCTTAGATCTAACCGGGAGCACCAACTCATCCTGCTGGGAAACAAAACAACTTCAATTAGTTTTGTGAATTCAAAGCACTTGGGATAGTTTTCACTGGCTGGACTGATTCACATTTGACAAATGCTGCATGTTTACTGAATATTTAAAGGGAGAGTCTAAGCAAAAATGAAAATTGTGACCCTGGACCACAAAACCAGTCATAAGGGTCAATTTTTCGAAATTTAGATTTATACATCATCTGAAAGCTGAATAAATAAGCTTTCCACAATAACAATATTTGGTCGAGATACAGCTATTTGAAAATCTGGAATATGAGGGTGCACAAAAATCTAAATATTGAGAAAATCGCCTTTAAAGTTGTCCAAATTAAGTTCTTAGCAACGCATATTACTAATCAAAAATTAAGTTTTAATATATTTACAGTAGGAAATTTACTTAATATCATAATGATTTTTGGCATCATTTTGACCCATACAATGTATTTTTGGCTATTGCTACAAATATACCCCAGTGACTTAAGACTGGTTTTGTGGACCAGGGTCACAATTGTGTCATCATTTTCTCTCCCTCATTTGTTGTTCCAAACCTGTATGGCTCCCCCCCCTCCCGTGAAACACACATACAAAAAAACATATTTTAAAGAAAGTTGGTAACCAAATCATTTCAGGTCCCATTGATTTACATTGTATTGACAAAAAAATACTTTGGACATCAGTGGGACACGAAACTGCTTGGTTCACAACATTCTTCAAAATATCTCCTTTTGTGCTCCACAGAAGAAAAAAAACCTTGCATACATGTTTGGACAGACATGATTTTTCATTTTTGGGTGGACTATCCTTTTAATTTCAAAATGATGGGCATTGATAACACTTAGTGATGATGATCTACATATCAATTTTTTCATTCGGAAATCTGTATCAGCAAGCTGGCACAAATAATTGCAAAAAAAAAAAATGACTTTCTTAGTTTTTCAGTCCAAATATCTAAATATTCATAAATCAAGAGAAAAGAATGAGATTTTTCATAACCCATTAACAAATATTTGTTCTTGTTTTAAGCATGATTTTGGACACATTTCCCAGAAATCAAGTAATTTTCTTTCTTGAGTAAAAGCAGTGATTTAATCATTTTTAGTTATCTGTAACAAAAACACTAAGAAAATTCGTACCCCGCTGACATATTTTTTTTTTCTTTTAAGCATAAATTCACTTCATTTTAATGACTTACTATCTAAGCCACTTTCCTTTTCAAGTTAATATATCTTGATTTGAATTTTTTTGAGATATGTATAATGAGAAACAAGACAAAAATACTAGGCAAGAAAATCATTTTTTGCAGTGCATTACTTTCAGCACCCAACTGCGACAAGAAATTAGTCACGGCAGCGTCTCAAGACGTCAGGTGGCGTGAGCAATCCATCCGCCTCCAGTCTCTCAGAGACGCTGCTGCCGAGGACACCAGCTCGGATCGGCCCACGCAGGCTCTGGATCATCGTGAATCAAACAGACTTGCTGACAGAGCTACTATCTCTGCCTGGGAGAGTGATATTTTTAGACATGTACTGTACTTCCACTCTCCTTATTTGTACAGGAGTTCCTTTCTACGTAGAGAGGACACACAGTAGCAGCGGGTAGGAGACAGTGTGTGGGCACCAGGCTGAAAATAACAGCACTAGTAGCAGATTAGATGAATCCACGTCATTTTCACTCTAGTAGGGAAGATGAATGCAGGCACGTGAGGTTGAATAAAAAATGTGACGCACTAGAGAAGGGAACGTTCTGAGTCGCCCACAAATGTCCTACATTATAACTCTTGTAGATTTCAGATACTCCCAGTTGAATTCTAATAAATGGACTTTATTAAGCTTTTTAGTTAAAATCCTAAAGCTCCGATGCACTTCAACAGCTTCCAATGGCTATAAACTGATGCATTCTCAGAAATGAGAAAATTATTAAATCTGCTGTCTGCATCATATTCCTCAGAGCCGATTACAACACTAATACAAAAAAAAAGAAAAAAAGACGGATGTCAGGCATCCATTTTGTGAAGGCAAAGACCCTATTTCCCCCCCGGCTGGCAGGATCAAGCGTGTGCCTATTCGGGTTGGAGCGAGTACTGAGCGTTCCAGGCACATCAGAACAAAAGGCTGCGGTCATCTGCACTGTTACAGCGCAAGTCAAGTGATGAGAAAAAGTTTTGCAGTTGAATAGCTACTACCATGGGAACAAATAGAAAGCGTCCATGTAGAGGACACACACACAAATGCAGCTCAAGCCGATTTGTTCGGCACTAATCTGCAGTGGCGGCTACACACTGAGGGATGATGTAATGTCATCCTGCTGTGCATCTCAATACTGGCTCGCATCTATCAGCTGTAAATCAATGCAGAGCTGCAGATCTAAGCCTGCCAACGTGTAGAACGTATACTTTAATATTAATATATTCATAAAAATCCGTGTTGTTCCGTTAAGACATCTGATATTTATCATTCTGTAACAGGCAAATAAAAACAAACTGATGTATTCACAGAAATAAGAAAATTATGAGATCTGCTGTCAGCATCATTTTTTCTGTCAATTCCAACACAAATGAATGGATGTTTTCCTGTGAATCTCAACCCTGCTTCACATCTATAATGCGCAATCCGTTTATACATTATTTTTTTACTTCAAACGTGCACAAGCAAGCATTCCAAAGTGAATAATATTTAATGGAATAAGAATAATAATCATTATCATAAATTATTATTATTGTTATAGAAATTATATTATATTCAGATATTATAGATTAGATTAGATATACATTTCAGTTTTGTCTATTAATCGCCTAATTAGTTTAGAGACATAATAGCACTTTTAAAGTCCAATTATTAAAATGTTGTTTTTTCTCAAGCAGACGTTAAACATAAATATGAATTCAAATAAAAAATATATATTTTTGCTTTTTTACATTTTTGATTTCTTTTTGCCTGGAGGAACGAGACAAAACAAAGGACGGTTTCACAGCAGACAACAAAACAATAGACAATAATGGGTATTTAAATAGGAAGCTATAACTCACGTGAGAGTACGGCATGTGAATTTCCTCTTTGTCTCCATCGTTCTCCTTTTCCGGCTTCTGTGCAGTTACTTGCTGAAAAGATATCTTCACCATTTTGACGCTTCTTCCTAGTTTTCTGCGGTTAGGACGTCCAGTAGTGATTGTACCACCAAGGACGGTTCTGAGCTGTGAATGAAATACTCGACAGAGGGCGGGCGAACTTAAAGAGGATTCCCTCGCTTCCGGTACACTTCAAAGTAAGAGTCCACCAATCGGCGTCTGCTTTCTAAAATTAGTATCACTTACAATTTTGACAATAAAAAAGGTCTTGTCTATTAACCCGTTCAGATTCGAATTATGTTCCAAAGGACAAAATGACAACGCTTTATGCAACCATAAATAATAATTATTCGGGGAAAATCACTTTTAAATCAGCACAAGAATAATCCATCCATCTATACATCAATTATTTAAGATTTTCAATCTACATCCATTCCCATAAGATTTTTCTTGAGATAAAATTAAAAATACAATTTTTAATATACAGAATTTTAGTATATCCTACACAATGCCTATTTTATGTTAAAGGAAAACCATCCTGCATAATAAATGTAACGCTTTAACATGGTATTATTGATGCAATTTAAAGATTCAAATTATTATGTTTTGCATTATAACGCATTGATGTACATTACAGTATTGGTGCATAGTTAAGATATAAATCTAGTTTAATAATATTTTGCATAACAATGACAGTGAGAAATCTTAATGTGCCAAGTTCATTTGTCAAATTAATAACCTCGAATGATATATCAAAAGATTATCTCGCCATGGATGTGATCGCACATTAACAGAAAATATACAATTTAATAACTTGCAGATTTAAAATCATTTTTCAGTTGTACTAAATTGGAATAATAAAAAATATATATCCCACGGGATTTTTCTAAATCAGCCATTCATCTCCGCCTTGTCCCTTCTTGGACTTTTATTGTGGATTTGTTTTCCCCACAAATGGACGTGCATTCCGGTTCTATTTTAGCCGTTTACGGTGCTCTACTACGCGTTCTGATTTGCATCAGACTGCCGGAAGTCAATAAATAACTTGACACTGATTAATGCTTTTTATGGCTCTGGTGCAGGTTATAATTTATTAATTATAATCCACAAACAGCGCAAATGAAGCATAATCAAAAAAATTCGGGTTATTGAAACAGAAAATAATTTTGAATTTCATGTTTTATCATAGCACTGTAGATTTAAAAGTTTGATTTAGTGACCTTCAATTCTGCGGAGACTTTACTCTTTTTTTTTTTTTTACTTAACGAATGAATTAGACAAAAGTGTATATATGGCAACCAATATAATATATCATAGGCTATTAGCTAGGCTAAATAGCCTATATTCAATAACTGTAATAAAATAAATGTAACTCATTTTCTTTCTTTTATTCACTAAAACAATGCGATTCGCTATCTGACGTAAATATGGAGCCTTAACAAATATTATGAATGTAAAAATGACTTTTGACTTAGAGTTTAGTTTTCAGTAGTCTTACATGGATGTTAAATTTCAGCAGTAGGCTACAATACGCGTGCCTTTTCATATGTTTTGCATTACATTAATATGTTCTTTCACAGATGGCCTCATAACAAAGCACTGATGATGTCCCACATACGCACACTGGTAAAGTAGAGCGCGCGGCAGAAATCAGATCAACCCCGCACTGACTGAAATGATGCCGTGCGCGTGAACTGAATTCCAGTAGCGAGCGCACTTTTGTTCTGTTCAAGAAAAGAATTACGTTCTGTAAATGTCATAATGGGGGGAAATTATTATATTATTATGTAATGCATAAAAACTACCAGCCTCTGGTTGCTAGCCATTCAGATTATGTCTTTGCTATTTATTTTTTAATTTTTTTCCCCTTATCGAGGGTCCAGGCAAGCAATTGTAAGTCACAGTTTATATTGCTCACAAACATCTGTCAGTCTCAATATAGGTGACCGATTAAGTTTCTTGAGAGAAATAATTTGCAACAATTTTTTAGCAAAAAAAAAATAGAGAAAAATTGCTTTAATTTGCTTTTGTTGATTATAAATACCATCTATATGGATGAAGTTTCCTCATTGTCTTCACAGTCACTTCCCAGTCCACGTCTCTGAGAAGAGTTTAATTCTGACTATAGTCAGGATAACATCAAGTTTCAACCTGTTTTTATACAGTCTATGGTTTCAACTCTCTAAACTCGAAAACTTACATCTGTTGGATTTTTAATTAAAAATATATGAATAAATTGAGTGAGATCATTGCCATTTCTTCATGACCACTTTGAAATTAATTTGAAGAAAATTGAGCTGAAAAACTATGCAATTGAAGTTTTATCACTTTGTTCTCAGTTTAATGTCAGGATATTGTTTTTCTCTGAATAACTTATTGACAGTATTGCAGTATGACATTGTCTGTTCTATCTATCTATCTATCTATCTATCTTATCTATCTATCTATCTATCTATCTATCTATCTATCTAGGTAGCCTATAGTGTAATTGTAGGCTACTTAATTTTATTCACTAAACCGTCCTCTGGTCCATCTACAGGTTCACAGGGCGGGTTGGTTTACAGTGCACAAAGGCAAGGCTGTTGATTGGTTACCAGTCAGTTCATTCACATGTAAATCAGCCCTCATAAATGTCCCCCTTCAGTCGCCCACTTTGCACAGTATATGTAGTGCTTGTTAGCACAGACTTTTGTCTCGAATTGAACCCGCCGACCATCTGCCCTCCATTCAGGCGTCCTCTCAGCGGTCTCTTTACTGCAGCAATATGGCCCCTGCGTCCCGCAGTAACAGACAAGAGGAGGATTTTTACGGAATAAAAGACAGAAAGGTACGCAACGCGCCTTTTTAATCGCACAAACAAATATATCGACGTTTTCCACAAGTTAAACGCATTTCTCTCTCCCTCTTCAGACGAGGAAGCCGCTGGTGGAGAAAAAGAGACGCGCCCGCATCAATGAAAGTTTACAGGAGCTGAGGCTACTGCTAGCCGACCCGGATGTAAGTTTATTCATCACTTCATGCATCTGTATCCCGCACCAACATACAGCGCAGAGAGAGCCTTAACGTCGTTATTTATTAATTTATTTATTTTAGGCGCAGGTAAAAATGGAGAATGCAGAGGTGTTGGAAATGACCGTGAAGCGCGTGGAAAGTATCCTGCAAAACAAAGAGAAGGGTAAGAAGAGCTGTTATCAAGTTTCATACAGGCTTGCTTTATTTTTTAACGCTTTATTAATTCAATGCCACAAGAACATGAGGTATTACATATTCACATGATCAAATTAACATTATTAGCTGCATACAGGCTTGCTTGCAAGTCGTAGCCTATGTATTTGGGTCGTGACGTCACACCGCTTTTCTCCCCAGCAGAAGCTGACAGCGTGAACCGCGAAGCTAACGAGCGGTTCGCCGCGGGATACATCCAGTGCATGCATGAGGTGCACACCTTCGTGTCCAGCTGTCCGGGAATCGACGCGACCATCGCCGCCGACCTGCTGAACCACCTCCTGGAGTGCATGCCTCTGAACGACGAGGATCGCTTTCAGGACATCCTGTCAGATCTCGTGCCGGACTCTAGTAATTGTGGCACTTGGCCTGGCGAGGCGACATACGCTGCGTTGTCGCCCGGAGACAGGAGCGTGGTCAGCAGCGGCTCCTCAGCCTTGTCCCCGGGCCCCTCCACCACCTCCAGCGACGACCTTTGCTCTGACCTGGATGACACGGACACGGAGCACAGCCGAATCTCGGTGGACGCCAGGGATCAAGCGCCAAGCGTGCCAACCATGCATCTCTCCAAGTCCATGTGGAGACCTTGGTAGACATGCTTCTGGAGATCCCAGTTGATTCATGAACAGTATATTTTTAGTTTAGAGCTATTAAAACATGCAATAGTCCAGGAGCACCTTTATGATAAGACCACGGACAGTTCTACATAGGAATAGGGCAGCTGCGACGTTTTTTTGTCATCGACCTGTGGATACCCCTCAGAAGCTCTTCTTGGTGCAACAATGTGCATTTCAGTCCAGTTTTACACAAAATGTTCGTATTTTTATTTAATTTTGTATAAGTTAAGTTAAACAACACTGTAAGGATAAATAATATTTCTAGGGAGTGTTTTCCCATCTCTAATTATTGTAGGCTAGGATGTAAATATTTCAATGTCGTGGATGTAACGTTAGATAGCTTATAGATCTCTGACATTAAAAAAAAAGATGTACGTTATCATTATGATGAAGTAATTTTGAAATAAATGTTAGATGTAATGACATTTAATGTTTTATATGTGATTGTGATTTCAATAAAACATTTTGATTTCCTCACTGTGCAGAGTTTCATGTGGTGTTATCTTTAAATCTAAGTTAAGGTAACGCGAATTTGAGGCTTTTCACGGAATTGACGAAGAGCAGATGTTATGCCGTTTTTAGGCAGATGCTATTGCTTTGATGTAGCTAATAAACAGAGTATGTAACCTGCTTTATCACACCTTCACACACACTAGACAGTGTGAATGTCCGCTTTGAGTGTTTTGACCCTTCAGACGTAAAACGTAACACCTCATTGACGATTAACCAGCAGCGCAGACAGAATGACTGACACTATAAGGTAGCTAACATGTGCAGAAGGTCATGTCTGCTGTAGACTACGTGTTACTGGTGAAGTCTGTCATCAAAATAGATTTGTAGATTATATTTATATATAGTTTGTAGATTATATTTATTTAATAATTAGCGGACACTATGCTTGTAATGGTAGGCCTATTTTTTTGTAAGGGACAAATCATAGAACCTGCAACCAACGTTATAGGCCTGTAAGTCCGTTAACGTCGCTCACGGACGTTTCCTTAACGTTTGACCGATTAATATTGTAACGACTTTTCAGCCTGATCATAGAAAAAAATACATTAGAAAGTCCATATAATTAGCGCACTAACAAAAGACTCAGGCTACAACAGTTAGACCAAGTTTGTTATAGGCCTAGGTTTTCGCGCGGTTTCTGTTTGAATTAGACGTCGACCAAAAAGAAATAGCACATTAGTTTTAAATTTGCAAACATATCTTCCTACCACAAAACCATTTGGAGGTTTAATTTTAAATGGGTTAGTTGACGGTTAGGCTAGCTGTACTAGGCCTGCGCGACCAAACCGCAAATTATTGCGGCTGACAGAAAACACCG